GGGGGGGGGGGGGGGGGGGGCGGCACAGATGCATGCCCATGTTAAGCAGGCCACCTCTTGCCTGTGTGCTTCTGTTACATAAAGTTTTTCAGACATTTTCCTCCTTCGAGATTTGGCCAGTGACAGTCAGACTGCTTGATCGGTAAAAGATGTACTGTACTGGCAGTTCCGGACAGCTGTGGTTGCCCATGACCGCCTCTGCATGTAGATAACATGGTGCTCCCGTTTCCCGCTCTGCCCCGTTCCCATTGGGTCTGGACAGTGACACATCTGTCACACTTCACCTAGGGCATTCTGCTTGTCTGCCTTGCGTTGACCTTTCCATGTTTTCCTAGATTAAACTCATGTACTGAGCATGGATTTGACTGCTGCTCACTTTACAGTGCGCTGCGCCACCTGCGGGTGGGAGGCTGGCACGAACACGTGGGAGAGGTCTCGTTTTAGCTGACCTCTTTAACAGAAAATAGCTCAGGCGAGCCCAACAGGCCCACTGCAGTTGAAGTGTTTAAGATGCATTCTGTGATCGCACTTTGGCAGCAGCGCGGCCGTCTGCCTGGGGAGACGTTGGTGAGACCCCCGCCTGTCTGTGTCCCCAGGTTCGAATTGATGCGCATGTGCTGGCAGTACAACCCCAAGATGCGGCCCTCCTTCCTGGAGATCATCAGCAGCATCAAGGACGAGCTGGAGCCTCCTTTTCGGGAAGTGAGCTTCTTCTACAGCGAGGAGAACAAACCCCCTGACTCAGAGGGGCTGGACCTGGAGCTGGAGGTCATGGAGAATGTACTGCTGGACCCCACATCCTCAGGCCGGCCCACCACCACCAGCTCGCCGCCACCTCCGCAGGCCTGCACCGCCGTCCAGGGCCCACAGCCTCAGCCCGCCTCCCTGGCCTCAGTTCCGTCTCCAGGCCCCGGGAACGGACCGGCGCCCGCCTCACCACCCATGGACAAGAAGGCGGGGCCGGCGGCAGCCAACGGGCCGGTGGTGCTTCTGCGGCCAGAGTTTGACGAGACGCCACCGTACGCCCACATGAATGGCGGCCGCAAGAACGAGCGGGCGCTACCCCTGCCACAATCCTCTGCCTGCTGATCCCCCCCCCCCCCC